TGTATCTATATATATACGTATATATATATATACGTATATATATATATACATAGAAGTTAATAAAAATTCGCATATTTATGTAATCATTCCTTGAAATCGGAATGATTTTAAATCAAGAAAAAAAATCAGATTTCTATGTAATCATTCCTTGAAATTGGAATGTCTATATAATGATCAGTAATGATCTTTTACAGGATGACTATAAAAGAGAAATTTTGCAACGGCTTATTTTTCTTTTTATGAACATAAAACGTCAAAATTGAGACACGTCATTGTTTCACAATATGCCTTAAATTTTATGCAGTATCTCTCATGTCTCACAAAACTTTTTAACTAATGCCGATAGATTAGTTAATAAGTCCTTCATTAATATAGAAATTTACTGTTAAGGAAATTTTTGAAATTTTTCTTTTTTTCTTTTTTTCTATTGTGCTTTGGTTTTAATGTGTGCATGAATGTTTTTAATGTATGTGTGTGCTTGACTATTTTTTTTAATATATTTTTATTTGCGTTTTTTTTATAGCTGAGTGATTCTCCAAAGAATTTTTAATTTTACACCTATGTTAAATACATATGTTGACTGAAAACAGATTCACAAAAAGCTTATTATGAAAGTAAATGTAACTTATTAACATTTGTAACAACTGTTCAATGATTGTAAAACAGTTGATTAAATTATATACTGTTTTAAATAGGCTTATTATAAAATGTTGCATAATAAATAATCTGACGATATTTATTTATAATAATGAACCACTGTTTTTAATTTTTAAACTTTAATTCGGAATAATAATCGAACTCGAAAACGCAATGATGTTAGAGAATAATGCTAAGAAACAATAATAAATAAATTGTGAAGGAAAATACTATTAAATAAAGAATATCTGAAAAATACCAATTTATCTGTTATACGCTGAGGAAAACCAAAGAAATCTCAATCTTTTTTCTTAATAAAGGGACCTTACCATTGAGAAACGAAATTGAAGACAAAATTGAGAAACAGTTTCAAAATCATTAACTTGGTATGTTACGTAGACATAATCGACAAACATGAGAGAGAAACAATGTATTTATGCCGCCCAAAAATCATCGATGAATCTTTCGTCAAAAATTATAAATTTAAGAATAACTACACTTTTATTTGCTCAAATTTCAATAAAAATGTTCTATGTAACAAATTTAAAAGGTATTAAACTAAACCTGACAAAATTTTAAAAAAAAGAAAAGAAAAAAAAAAGAAAAAGAAAAAAGGGGATAGAAAAAAAAAAGTGTCAATGGTGCCTGGATATTGGCAGGACCTGTATTTATTTGGGTCAGGATTTAATTAAACGTAATATGCAAGCAATATCCAATACAAAGTACTAATTATAAAAACGTAAACGTAAAATAAAAACTTATACAAAAAAACGTTTTGCATCTATACGTCAGTTACCTTATAAATGAACCATTAGATTATGGAAAAATTAATAGGATTCACAAACAACCAAGTGTTTAGTGCATCTTTGTGCATTCCTAGCAGAAAAATATAAAAGCAGGTTCTTCTGCGTGTTGCGCATAGACATGTAGTGCATAAACATGTTGAGCAGTAAAACGTGTTGTATATTGTTCTTTTTCCTTTTTCAAACTTCCTTTTTTACCTTCTCTTAAAAAATATTAAACAAAAAGTTATGGATCCCAATTTCTGCCCTTAATTGCAGAACTCTGAAAAAATATTTCAATGTAATGTATAAAAGTTAAATGCTAAATTAATATTTTCATAAATATGATTAATGCATTTATAAAAGCAAAATTCGTTTATATTCTATGATATATCATTTTATCTTAGAATTTGCCCCCAGAAAAAGCCATAATTTTTTCAAACTACATAAAATTGAATAATTTAAGAAAAAAATTCTTTAAGCTATTTAATTTTGTTTCATTAAAGCCTAAAACTAATTAAAGCCTTTAATATAGATGTTAATTTCCGAATTTAAATCCCAAAAATCTTCAAGAATTATTAACAGATTGAACGCTTTGAATACGGAAGGGCGCGAATGCAGCTGACGTCATCAGTGGAAGAGAGAGCTTTCCAGTGTCACAAGTGGAAGAAAAACAGATCAGTGAGTTCCGCTGTTTTTCATGATAGACCAAGGAAGCGCTGGAATACAAACATCCTTTCCGTCTTTCATCTTTTGTAAGTTTTCACCTTTTCTTCCAAGAAATTATCTGCCACAAGAGAAAAAATTTTTCCCTTGCCTTTTTCCTTCTTTCTTTTTGCAAAAAAATTTAAAAGTATAAATGTCTTTTTAAGATTAATCGTTCCTTCAGATTTTGATCAAAAATTTAATACACATAAAATTATTTTTAAATTATGATAATAATATTAAATTGATTGAATGGACGGAATTTCAGAAAAGTCCTGCTTGCGAAAAACTCCAATATTTTTTCATTTTTCTCATGCTCAAATAAATAAATAAAAAAATAAATATTGATAGTTCCGCTAGCAAAATTGTCCTTTAAAAATTGGGTAAAATAATTAGTTTATTAAAAATATAGACAACTACTTTTCGTATTTTCCTATTTTAAATATATATAATAAAACAGCTATAATCTTAATCATATTTAAGTAAATTAGTGAAATGAAATCAGTACAAAATGAAATCCATCTAACGCCACCTTTTCCTCTTGAAACTTATGTACTGTAAGCTATTTTTTTAACGAAATTATATGTCTAATTAGCAGTCTTGTAAATATATGTGACCAGTATCTTATTAACTCCTTCCATTTTTTTGTCTTAACTTTTTCACAAAAATTAATATGAAAATAAAATATTAACTTTTAAAAAATAGATGAAATAAATGTCTCGAAATTGTGTTATAAATGCTTGACAAAAGGTTTAGTTTTACATAAACTAAGTTTGAAATAAGTATGATGATTGCATTTAAATGATAGAATTTTAATTTAGTTTAAAAGAAAGACCGAGTTGTCACATTAAATTAATCAAAATGCAACAAACATTCTTTTCACTATCTATCTTTTTTAGGTTTTTATCTTTTCTTAACAAATTCACATTTAAAAAACTTATTGATAATTGATTGATAGTTAATTGACAACAAAAACCTGTGAAACGTCAGATCTTTTTTGCTTTGTTTTTGTATGAAAGTAAACTTATTAATCTCCTTCGATTAAGCTGTGCTTTTTCAAATTTAGTTCACACAGAATTATTTTGAAATAATTTTAATAATTATTGTTTAGAAGAAAATAAATGACCTTAAAATAATAAAAACAGGTGAGAAAAAATTCGTTGATTACCTTGTGTAATTTTTTTTCATCGTATTAATTAAAATTTATTATTAATTAATAATTAAATAAAACCTGTAAAACACTGAGATCTTTTTTTATATATATATATATATATTTGTATGAATTTAAACGTTTTAATCTCCCTCGTTTAAGTAGAGTTGTTCTTTCAAATTTAGTTCGCACAGAATTACTTTGAAATAATTGTAATAATAATTGTTTATAAACAAATAAATAAATTTAAATAAGTAAAAATTAAAAAGAATCAGTGAAAAAATTTTGTAATTTTTTTATATCGTATTAATTAAAATATTTTGTAAAATTATAAAATAAAATAAAATGGTGATGGATTAAAAAGGAAAAACGTGGAGTGTCCTTTTGAAATACAAGGTACCTCCTACGTTTTTGTGATACCTCCATCTCATTTTTTCCCTTTCAATTGCTATTTAATTTTTTTTTTTTAAATTTAATCTTCATACTTTTCAATTTTGTGTCTGCAAGTTAATTAATGTCTTAAAGTGGTTGAAATTTTTATAAGTGATAAATTTTATTAGGCCGCAAGTTTTGATAGCATCAGTGAGGAAACAATTTTGCCTTGTTCTGTTGTCAGGTAAAGAGCTCGAATTTAAATTCAAGTACTCTAGCTCAGAAAAGGCGGACTAATGGCACCCGTGCCACTAGATGGCGCTTGTGGGGTATTTTGGTGGCATCCGATAAGTACATATTAAATTACTTTTATTCAGTAACATTCAGTGAAAATATTATTTAAAAAATATAAAAATAAAAAAAAACATCTCAAACACTAGCATAAAACATCGCTTCTCAACCACTGGGCCGCTGAACAGTACTGTCAGCAGCGGATCGATACATGAAAGATTGATATTTTATTTTATTTTATAACCGTCGTTGAACAGCCGACCCAATTTCATGGGTTTACGACTACTTACGTTCAACTCCGTAGCCTTGTAATTTTGAACCAATCCAGAAGACAAAGAAACTCCTGGATCAGTACCCCCAGAGGTATTGATTTGTTGTGGGAGCATGGAGGACTTTGAGACTCGACAGATTTAACGTGCATCAGTCACCATTTACTACACGGGGAGTCTTCGGCCGGCGAGGATCGAACCCACGACCTCTTGGATATGGGCCCAGCGCCCTACCGACCAGGCTATCCCGGTCCGATATTTTGATATTAGAGTTAATGTAAATTTTATTTATGTTTAAGTTGGTGTAAGCTCAAAATAATTTTCATAGCAAAGTGTATATGAATAATTAGGACGCACAGTGGGCTGATCATAAGACACGGTTCCGAGTCGAATATTAAAGTCAAGCCTTACTGACTGCGACCAGTGTGGGGATGAAGGGCTAAGCTAAATATTAAATTGGAATGTTTTTCAAACACTGTTTTTTCAGTTCCATTTGAAGCAAACTAATAACTTTGCAGCAAATATGTTTACACAACGTCATTCTAGAGTTTGAAATCAAAATACAATTGTCTAGAAATTACTATTAAAAATAAATTAGTAAGTGGCACACAGGACACACGAAAATAATCGATCGCAATTTAACTGGCACACTAATCAAAATTTCGATTGATGTTTAATTCTGCTGATAGCAAAATGGAAACGATTGTCATCAGGCACGGAGCTCAAATTTAAATTTGAGTTCTCTAACTAGTTGGAAAGTAGAAGAAATTCCGATAAGCGATAAATTGTATTTAGCATTATTATTAGATAAATTTTGCATGCAGCGCTCAGAAAATGACTGAAATTTATATTACCATCCATTAAAAAGAGCACTCTAGCTTATCAAAAAAGTTACCGAATCTTTAATTAGCAATAAATTTCCTTTTTTTCTTCAATAATTTGGTGATAAATTCTGCTAGTAACGGCTAGGAGACGGTTTAAACATATATTCTCGTCTGAGTCGTTGTGGCTCAGGCGATGAAGTATTTTCCTCCCAACGTTAAATATCCTTAGTGGTAGACGGATCATGGGTTAGAATACCCTTGCTATCGGACCAACCGTGGGAGGTTTTATTGCTTTTCCACTCCATGTAACGCAAATGCGGGTTAGTTTCATCAAAACATATTTTAGATAGTTTGTCCCAATGCTTGATCCAGGAGTTCTCTTGTCTTCTGATTTGAGTTAAAAATTACAAGGCTACGGGGTTGAACATTGATAGTCCAAAACTTAGAATTGAGATGCTGTTCAACGCCGGTTATAATATCATATTATAATAATATATTTTATTTTATAACCGTCATTGAACAGCAGACCCAATTTTTGGGTTTACGGCTACTAATGTCCAACTCCGTAGCCTTGTAATTTTGGAACCCAATCCAGAAGACAAGGGAACTTCTGTATCAAGTATAGGGAGAAATTTGCCTGGAGGACTTTTTTTGATGGAACTAACCCGCATTTGCATTACATAGAGCACGAGAACCTCCCACGGTTAGCCTGACGGCAAAGGGACTCTAACCTACGATCCGTCTACCACTGAGGATAATTCACGTCAGCACTGTGTACGGTGCAAACCGGATGCGGAATTCGTATCGACCAGCCATCGCTGGGATTCGAATCCGGTTCACCTCATTGGAAGGCAAACGCTCTATTCTCTGAGCCATCGCGGCTCTATAATAATATATTGTAATCTTGCATAGAGCTGCTGTTAAAATATAATTACTCTAGGGATAGTCAAAAAATGATCGAAATTTCGATTTACGATAATGTGGCATTATTTTCTGTTTGTAGGGTTAAGAAAATATTTAAACTTGTCTTTCAGCACAAAGCTCTAGATAAAATTGAAGCATTTTACTTGGTCGGGAAGTGAATGGAATTTAGATTGGCGATGAATTTCCGTTGAACATAATGAACCGATTAATTCTGTTTGTTGTGGTCATGATAAGAAGCAAACCTATTATATCATCCAGCTTAATTTTTTTTTTTTTAACTTACTGTACTTTTTTCATCTAATTGCGATACATACTACTAATTCAGACTCGTTAATTAGTTTTTATCAACCTAGGTTTATCTTTCTCACTTCCTTTAATACTAACTATCAAATAAATTAATCAGCTAGTCAAATATCCTGTTGTTTACAATACATAGTATATAAAGAAATCTTTTCCTTGGGAAATGAGAAAGCAATTTTAGACAAAATTTGGTTATTTTTCTTCTAACCTCTATTAGACTGTAGAATTAAAAAAAAAAAAACAAGAAAGACAAAAATTTGATTTCGAATGATTCGTAAAATGAGCAAAATAAGAAAGGTTACACGCAAAATCGAGGCGTATGTATACAGTGCAGAAAAAAAATAAACTGACCACCCTGAATAACTTTTGATCTAATGATCGGATCATGTTCCAAGACTCAATGGTTAGAAGGTGAAACTTCAAATATGCTGATTAGTTAGCGTAGACGATACTTTAAATTACGAAATCAGACACAAAAACGTACTTTCTCTGAATAAACATATCCTTTTTAGGACTATTATTAAATAAAATAATAAATATTTTCTAAAAGTTCTTTTTTTTCATAGAATTTAATAAACGATTAACGAATTTAATAATTATTTGCAAAAATTCTTCGCTTAGCTGAAAAAATTCTCAAACTATGGCAAAATACACAAAAAATAAAATTAACATTAAGGGGTTCAAATGGGGGGTTGGAATTACGAATTCGTAGAAAAAATGGCATATTTATTCAGAGAAAGTGCGATTTGTCTCTGTTTTGTGACTAAAATATCGCTTGCACTAATTATTCAGCTTATTTGAGGTGACCGCCTCCCCTCGAATCATCAAGATTAAGTCCCAGAACGTAAAATTATTCAGGGAGGTCCATTTTTTTCTTCTTCTTTTTTGCTCTGTGCAAGACAAAATTTTAAAAATTTTGA